GACTCATGACATGGATGCCTGCGAGGGAACCGTGACAGCCATGGTAGTTTCTAGGGCCGAGCAGGAGAAGCCTGGCCCAGAGCTCCGAGCTCACCAGGTGCAGTCTAGAGAGCTAGTGAGATACCTGCGGCTCCAAGCAGGACCCGGAAGACGGGGACACTGCCGGGAGAAGAGGCCCAGATGTACAAGCCTGAATGACCAGTGCGTGGGCCTGTGAAAAGGCCGCTTCTGAAGACTAGCAGGGTCTTGGCACCCCTGGGCTGCTTGCATCAGACTCATGCAAGCATTACTTTAAAATGACCTGTCCGGGACCTGACACCCCAACCTCTCTCCCTCAGCGGGTCCCAGGCATTGGGGCACCCCAGCCTGAGGGCCCAGCCTGCAGCCCACCCCAGGGGAGGGTGGGTGTGGCCTGCGGCAGGCCCACTTAGGAGCTGCCCGGCTGGGGTGCCCTCAGGTGCTGGCGCTGAGCAGGAGGGCGAGTCCCTGACCCTCCATTTCTCCCTCAGGCTTCACTGGCTCTGACATTGGGATATTCAGAGCCACTTTTTAGGAACAGAGTACTGACTTATTCATAGTCAAAGGCAAGGAACAGTGTCAGGGGCGGCACTTTCTTTACCTTTTAGGGCAGAGCCAAGGATGTAAGGCGTCTTCTGGGAGGTGGAGGCTGAGGGCGCCCCCAAAGGGCTTGCTGGTGGCTCCCTCCTTCCTGTTCACTCCCCCCATGCTAAAGAACGCTCTGGGGCACATCTGCAAACGCGGAGACCATTCTGTAAAGTACCTGAGGATTTCCAAGGATGCGGATCCCTAGGCCTGGGGCAGCCACACGCCCTGAGTTCACAGACTCCCCAGGGGGAGTGCCAGGCTGCGCTGCTCCACCCACTGCTCTCTGCTTCCGGAGGCCCCGGGCCCCAGCTGCCCCCACCTTGTCCGCCCTGGGGCTTTCTCCTGAGACTGGTGGCCTGGGTGTAGGCCGCCCACGGTGCCCTCTTCTCTCCACAGGAGGAGGACAAGGAAGGACAGGCCTGGACACCTGTGACCTGACACAGCCCCCGTCCCAGTGGGCAGTGAGGGGCGCTGGAGGGCAGACGTCTCCCCCGTGACCGGGTCTTCCACGGCATGGACCCACAGCACTGCCTGTGAGGCTCCACCAGGCCTGGGATGCCCATGCCCGAGCTGTGGGCTGGGGGCACCTGTGGGTTCGGGGAGTGTGGCTGGGGGCTGGGTGCCGCTCTTTCAGTAACAGGGTATTGGTTTATGCGGAGCCACAACAGTGCAGGTTAAACGGACTTCCTGCAGTGCCGTGGACCACGTGGCGTGGTTCTTACGAAAGGAAGACAGCAGGAGGAGCAGGCAGATCTGGAAATCTCTCTGGGAAGCTGACTCACCTGGCAGTCTTGTCCTGGCGCTCCCCAGAGTGCCTGGAGGCTGTGCAGCCAGCCCTCCAGGACGAAGCCGCTCCGAGGATGCAGATCAGAGTGACGAGGGGCCCGGCCCCAGACAGCCAGCCTGGGACACCTGCTTCTACACTCCTTTGAGGAGGGGGAGAGAAGTCTGTCTTGTAGGCCACCGCTGTTTCTACTTCCTGGCACAGCAGCCGGACCTCCTAACAAGTGCATCTAGTGTTGGAAGAACGTAGCTGGGCGTGGTGACACAGGGCTGCGATCCCAGCTCTCTGGGAGGCTGAGGCAGGAAGATCAGAAGTTCAGGCCCAGCCTGGGGAACTTAGGGATTTAGTGAGACCCTGCCTTAAAATTTTTAAAAAAGTAGGAAGGGGGGGTTATAGCTCAGTGCAAAGGCCCCGTGTTCAGTTCCCAGAAGTCCCCCAAATAGAAAAAAATGTTACCTTGAATTTCCTGTTTAATTAGAGGACCATTTTCTCGTGCTTTTCAGGGTGCAGTAAGCATTGGATGAACGGCGGGCAGCAGGGACTTTGGAGTGACAGGAATGGGGCTGAGCCCCCCTCTGTCACCAGCCCTGTGCCCTGAGTCGTCACTCAGCCTCTCTGAATCCTTCATCTCCGCGCAGTGATATCCATCAAGTGGGGTAGTACATTTCACAGGACTCCACAGTGTTGGCTTGCGTGTCTGCCCTCACCCTCACGCTGAGCATTCTAAATACGCTAGTCATGCTAGGTAAATCTTCGCACCCTGGATTTACGCCCACATGGGCCGACCCTGTCATCCTAAGCTTGGGGTACTAGGTGGGTCCCATTAGGTAGGGAGCCCAGGACAGAGGGGAGGCAGCAGGCCCCTCTACCTCCAAGAACTGCTGGGCTCTGGTCAAAACCAAACCCTGGGGCCACTCGGTTCTGTGGAGCTGTCCCCGGAGCCTGAGCAGAGGGCTGACTGGCAGCACTTCCGGCCTGGGCCCTGCAGGCTGGCAGCTGGGGGTCTGTGCTGGGGGCAGACGGGGAAGCCTGATCAGCTGGTGCGACACAAACATCTTGGAGCCTCCGCACAGGTGAAGGGCCCGGGGCCACCGGCCTGCAGGATGCTGACGGGCTGTGGAGAGACGCCAGGGGCCACTTGCCAAGTTCCTGCTCCACAGCCTGCCCGGCTAAAGAAAGCATGTGGGGAGCAGCAGTGCTGAAGGCCCTTGGCCAGCCCCTCCTCTTGAGGGAGACAGCCTGAGCAGGGATGGGGAGGCAGACCACCCCAGTGACGGAGACGGCTGGACTCGCACCCTGGCCCGGACCCAGGCCTCTGTCACACGCATTGGGAATTTCCCAACTTTTGTGTTCAAGGCCCTTCTGACAGGGCGAAAGACCCCATGGGATTCTAGGTCTGCCAAAAACGTTACATCACCCTAGAGCTGGTGGGGTTCGAGCACTGAGTCCATCCCCTCCAACTAGGGGATGGCGTGGCCACAGCTAGCTAATGGCCAGGCCAGACCGGGCCCAGGCCCCAGCCCGAGCGCGTGCTCACAGCCCTATTCAGACGCTTCCTACTTTACAACCCAATCTTACTGTGATCTGAAACTTGACGACCTAAGAGGGCCTAGGTCCATCCAGTTCTGAACCCCACACGGAGTCAAGGCAGAAATGGGAAAATGTTTTACAAAACCTAATGGGAGAGGAGGAACCCCATCCCGGGAAGGACTCAGGCAGCAGCTTAGAAGTCCTTGGCCTGGCTTCCCACCACAAATGGAGTGCATGGTGGGCGTGGAGTCTCCTCTGTCGGCTTCTGGAACCACCACACTGGAAACAAGGAGGTAAACCTGGGAGACCAGGACCTGGCTCTCAAATCTACAAGCTGCCAAGCAGGTATCTTCCTCATAGGTGAAGGCCTAGTTTCATCCTCCACAAGTATCTACAAGGTGCCTGCCAGAGATCTTCCTATATATTTGATTTGTGTGTGAGCGCGCGTGTGCATGTGTGTGTGTGCGCGTGCGTGCGTGAGTGCGTGCGCGTGTTAGTGGAGGTTTGTTACAAGGCCTTCGCCCTGAACTATATCCCCAGCATTTAAAAAAAATTTGGTACAGGCTCTGGCTAAGCTGCCCAGGCTGGGCTTGAACGTGCGATCCTCCTGCCTCAGCCTTCCAGAGTGCAGGGAGCAGAGTACCCAGCACACCTGGCAAGTACCTGATTCTCACATTTCTCAGGCAGGATAGAGGAGGAAGCAGCCGGTGGTTCCTGGGAAAGCCAGAAGGGTGCAGCACACAGCGCGGCGGCGCCCAGGAAACCCCGAGTGGAGGCAGAAGGTGCCGGAGCTGGGCCGCCCCGGGATGCGCTCACGCGTGACCTCCACCAGCTCGGGAAGGGCGTTCGCACCGCGTGGCTGCGCAGGGCCCGCCATCCACCGCGCTCGCAGCCGTCAGTCACCCCGGCTTGCGCCTGGGTCACGCAGTTCCGGGTCGCGGCCTCGTCACTTATCCCCGCGCGCCTCTGCCTCCCTCCTGCTCCAGGACACGGAGCTGCGGGCGCAGGAGTCCAGGGGCCGCTTTTCCGCCCAGCTGCATCTGGGGCCCCGCTCCTGGGCGAGCTGCCCCCCGCCCCAGGGTCCTCCACCTCCGCCTTGCGGGGATGCTCGGCTAGGCAGGCCCCGCTAGACCGGGACGCGGGAGCGCCTCAGCTGAACCCGCGGTTGGAACTCTCTTCCCTTCAGGGAGACCTGCCGCCGGCTCTCCACCAACCAGGCTCCCGGAGCACGCAAGTCCCACCACGCGGCTCTCCAGTCCGCCCACAGATGCACAGCGCGCAGTGAAGACAAAACTAAGAGGCACAACCGTCCCTCCCTCCGGCCGGCCACTTCCGCAGCCTGCTCTCCCCTGCACAGCGGGGCCTGGCAGAAAGAACAAGGCTGCCTGCACTCAGGCCACTGTGGGCGGGGCACAGGCAGTCCAGGTGCTTCTCCAAGCTCAGATATTTACAGAATCCTGCTGCACTGGCCACTGCGAGAGAGGTCAACCTGATGCCTGAGGACGCATTGTTTACTGGTTGTAAACAGACAACAGAAAGCAAGCGCAATCTTCGGGAGCCACAGGATGAGAGGGCAGCTTTGGGTCACGGCCGGCAGAGCCTCTGACCGAGCTAGGAAGTCGGAAGTCGCTGTCAGGGAGCCCCGTCCGCTGCCAGAGGCCACCGCTGGGGCAGAGCTGCCAGGGCCTCTTCCCGGCCCGGAGGCTGCTCACCTGGACTTTCACAGCCAGGCGGGGCAGGAAAGGTTCCACGCGAGCTCCCCTGTGGACCAAACCCTAGACCTGCGACTCTTGTAAGGAAATCAGGGTGTCAGTGAATCTATCCATACTGTAGGGTCTTTTGAAAAAGAAACCCACACAGCCAGGAAGAACTCTGAAGCGCCAAGTGGGCAAGCGGCCTCTTTAGGGAGGGGCTTTCTGGGGTCTGCAGGAACAAAAGGCTGAAAAATGGCAACGCACGTTTCATTTTCAACCGCTCAGAAACTGTCTTCAAACAAAGGCAACTGCAGCCAAATTACCATCATTCTCTTCTTGTAAATCCAGCCGTACATTGCATTTGTACTTCCTCAGACAACTTTTAGTTTAAATGGCCAAAATTAGAACTTTAATTTTATAAGCTCTCAGTTGTTAAATGCCAATAGGAAATCATGTCTACAAGAAAAACAATGACAAACACAAAATAGGAACACTTTTTCCAGCCACAGTTGTACACTTATGAGAAACAGGAATACTGGAAAATAGCATTAAATTCAAAGCTTATGGGAAATCTCTTATTAAAGACTTATTATTCACCTCAGGATATTAAAGTTTACAAATGAAATTTTCAAATTACTTTTAAAGTCATCTTTTCCCTCCTACAGAATTGACATACAGGCTTGAATCCAGAAAACAGTTAAAACTGAAGTTTAAATATTAGTAATTTTAACAAAATTCAGAATGGATTCAGAAAGATACAATACAGAAATTTAGAGTAAAACAAAGCAGAAGAGCACTGTATTTTGGGTTGTTTGAGATAGGCACAGTATCCTCTTCTTTCTCCTGAGGAATAAGCTAAAATTTAGTATTTTGTTTAAAAGAGGTCTTTAAATGATATAAACAAAATTTAAGGAGCTCAGAACATTCTTTCATTTGGTCCTAAGAGGGACCTCCGGAAGCTCGGCCCTCACTTAGCCGTCGGATGCCTGGAGCAATTCCCCAGGCACAGGAGAAGGAGCCATTGCTTCCCTGGGGTCCTCCGGGGAAGGGACCTGGCCCAGCCACTGCTGCCCTGACGACTAAAGCCTGCTCCAACTCTTCCCAGGAGCCAGGTTCTCAAAGGAGAGCCTGGGGGAGCAGGTGGGAGCGTTTGGACCGACTTGTCACATTGCCCAGAGTCTGTCCTGTTTATCACCATCCAAATATGCGAGGTCCCTGGGAAATAAAACCACCTGGTGTGGCGACAAGGTGCCGGGGAAGTCCAGTCTGTTAGCTCAGGGCCAAAGGACAGGGTGGCCAACAGTTCACATTTTAGGAATTTGAAATGTCCAGAAATAAAGTGGTATCTCAAAAAAAAAAAAATTAAAATGGGGGAGGAGAGAGAAAAAGAAGTGAGAAGGAAGGAAGGAGACAAGGAATTATTTAGAGAATGTGAGCTAGCCAGAATACCTTACCTGGAAAGGAGTGACAAATGCATACAAAGCGCACAAACCGTGCAGTTAATTCGGTATTACACAGTGGGATACAGTGTAATGTATCGGAAGCCTCGTGATGCTTCCGCACAGCATATACCTACATATGTGCCAAGCACTTTTAAACATATGTGGGACTAATTCAAGATCACTCTAGCTTAAAAATACAAAATACAGATCTCTTTAAAGGGACAGGGCAGGGGTGTGTGGAGGAAAGGCAGATCCTGACAGACGAACACGGAGACAGGCGGGGTCTCTTTTGGTAAAGAGTTGAGATGGCCCCAAAACTGTCAAAGGACGTTGACTGGTTCTTGAGAGGGTTATTTTCAAATATAACCTTACAGCTACATTTGTAAAATAAAATCTTTGCAGAAAGTTTCTTAACCTTGTGGTAAATCCATACTGACACTTCCTAAACTGAGCGAAAGGTGGCAGGGGTGAGAACAGGCCAGGGACACGGACTTTAACGTGAAAGGAACCCTCTCTGAGCGCCTCTCACACAAAAGGATAGACTCTTAAATAAAATGACACTTCCTTTAAAATCTGCCACCTAACTACTGTTTACATCATAGAAAAATAGCAATTTTGTAAAAAGAAATATAGTCACTTTGTTAAAATGGTCTCTTTTAAACCAGCAATTATTTTTCATATAAAGAATCTCTAAACATCCATACAGAAAATAAAAATAGATAATACTGAGTGCAAAGCAGACAATGGCATATTTGCAAATGATCAAAGCGTTTCATTGCCAGATAAATAATACCCTTCAGGTTATTCCAGTACGAGTCACCTTCGGGAGCTAAAAGACACCGCTTCCATTCTCTGTGGCGAGTTACTTAGGTCACTTCCAGCGGCAGAAGCCCAAAGTGACTACAAACACATCACCCAAGCTCACTCGCATTCCCCCTCGTGAGAGGGCCAAACCCCGACCAGATCGAGGACCCCAGCCTGAGACGCAGCCCAGGACCAAGGGTCTGCGTGGTCCTGTCGGAACCACTCGCTGCACTGTCCATGTTTAAATTCTCACACTGAAACAGACCGGCACCAAGCTATTTACCAGCATGGCCGAGTCGGAGAGATCGGGCTGCAGGGGTTATGTGAAAACGCCTCTCTAAACATAAGCATTAGATTTTCACGCTACACAAACATGGTTCCCATGGACTGAGCTTCGTCTGAGAACAGCTCTGTACAGATGGCGAGTTTCCCGCTGCGGGCGGTGGAGCGGGAGGGGGGTTGCGACACGGAACCCAGCAGTTTCCAGCTTCTGCTTGGGCCAGAAGGGGACGGACTGGACCAGAGAATCCTCAGTTAGCAAGCCAAGGCAGTCCCGGGCTTCACTAGCACCTCGTCACACTCTCTCCACTCTGCTGGGGTCATATGAGTCTGCACAAAAGAAAGAAAAAGGAACAAATAAAATCAGCGATGGTATGGTTTGATCCTCTGGACTACAAATAAATTTGTTTCAAGGGCAAAATTCACAAGTTTGTAAAATTCATTTTTAGACATTTCAACAATCATTTTTTTACTAAGGAGCAAAACACTATGGTTAAGAGGTTGTTTTCAGGGAACACGCGTGGCCGTTACTCAAAACACACATGGAAAAATGTGACCTGCTCACCACTCACTGCTGTGATGGCCCCTTGCTGTTGTTCCAGTGGAACTCAATTAACTAGAAGGACAGCGCTTCTTAACCAGCAGTAATGGCCCTGGCTGGCGCTGAGATGTTTTCTTTTCTTCTGTAAATCACACCTCCAGCGAGAGTTTACTGCATCTCTGTGCCCAACTGCTATTCCTTCAAGGACTGGTCACCTGACACCCTGACTGTGAGGCCAGCAGCGTCAGGCTTCCGGTCTCCAAAAGCCACCAGCCCAGGCTGGGTGCTCACCTGCCGGCACATTTTCAGGCTGCCCAGACCATGGCATGTCTGAGTCTGGGCCACCATGTGGTCCCACTACAGCCTGTACCGGAAAATCCCAAACTGAGCCCAGGTGACCTGGATTTCCTAACGGGACCCACACAAAAGAGCAGGAGCAGTAATCCTGAGCTGCAGAGGACCTGGTTCACGGAGCTTCGGAGCCAGCAGACTAAGGCTCACACACCAGCCTCCTTTGGTTACAATTGCCCATCACATTGGCTCAAAGGTTTCCTAACTTTTTTTTTATTTGGTACCTGGGATCGAGCTTCAGACCTTGTGCTTGCCAGGCAGGCACCAGAACCACTGAGCTAAATCCCCGGCCCAGGTTTCCTAACTTTTGAAGAGAACACGTTTAAGAAATCTGGAAGGGATGCCAGCATTAAAACATTGTGGAGAGTTCTCAAAAAAAAAATTAAAAATAGAACTACCATATGATGCAGCAATCCCACTACTGGGTATGCATCCAAAGGAAAGGAAATCAGCATGGCAAAGGGCTGTCTGCACCCCAGGTTCACTGCAGCATTCCTCAAAACAGCCAAGATATGGAAAGAGCCTAAGTATTCAGTGCACGGATTAAAAAAAAGTCTACGTATGCAGGCTCAGTGTAGATGCAGTCTTAAGAAAGCAAAGGAATCCTGTCATGTTATGGTAACATGGATGAACTTTAAGGATGCTATGATAGGAAAATAAGCCTGGCACAGAAAGGTAAAAACTGCACGATCTCATTTATAGGTGGAATTTTCTAAAAGGTTAAATTCGGAATAACAGAGAAAGAAAGGAATGGTGGTTGACAGGAGCTGGGGTGGGGAAAGGAGAGAGCGTACATCTTCAGCTACATGGTGAGTAAGTGTCGGAGACCCAAAGTGCAGCGTGATGGCTGCAGTTAATAATCCTGCACTGAATTTCCTGAGAGCACTGACTCAAGAGTCTTCACCACACTAACAGACGCTGACTCTGGGAGGGGCTGAGTCCGCCCGCCAGCTGGCTTTGGACATGAATCTCACAAAGCCTATGCATCTTAAGACATACCGTTGCATACCTTGAACACAGACATTTCATTTGTCAGTCATATCCAATAAAGCCAGGGACAAAAGCAAAAAGAGCAAGGCTCAGAGCAATGAAAAAGGGGATTCGTTAAGAAATCTGGAAGGATGGTACAGTTTGACAGAAAAACAATTACAGAACAGTCCTAAGATCCACCTGGAAAGCCACGCACTATGAAGGCCATGGAGCCCCCACCTTCTCTGTGACGTCTGCCTCATCCTCCTCACAGCTGTCCAGTCTGGCTGCCATGCATCTCCACTATGCTGAGGACTGTGCAGTGGCAGCCCCGGGCTTGGAGCACTCTCAGCAGACAACACAGACAGGGCGGGCTCGGGAGGCGCGCTGTTCTGCAGCGTGGTCAGCTGTCCCAGGCCCACCTGGCTAAAGGCACGGAGGCCCCAGGGAGTCTGCACCTCCTGCCCCTTGACACTGAGCAACACTGTAATGCACAGTCGGAGAGGCACAGCTGTGCTACATACACTTCTGGGCCCAAGGAGCCAATGGCACTCCGACTGTGAGGAGAGCCTGCCAGGAGCAGAATGTGGCAGGTGGCCCCCAGGGGAGAGGTGCGGAAGGGGCACACTCCTGGCTAGTGGGGGGCCGCATGAGCCCGAAATGGGCAGAGAGCACACTGCACGGGTCCCCCCAGGCCCAGAACCCCGAGATACCTCCACAGGACGAACCTGCGCCCACAGCCCCACAGCTGACACTAACAGCATGGCCACAGGGAGCCACGGAAATAAGTCTGTAGAACAACGACTCTGTCTCCGGCTCACAGGTAGTCTGGTCCAACAAAAATAATGTGAGCCATGTAATATTGTTTTAAATTTTCTAGTAGCTACATTAAAACAAATAAAAGGAAAAAGGTGAAATTAACTTTAATAATATACTTTATTTCACCAAATATACCCAAGATACCACTTCACCATGTAAGGACTGAATGTAAAAGTATTAAGAGTTTGTGGCCCTTGTCCTTTTCTGTGCTGAGCTTTTGGGATTAGTGCTTGACTCAGCACATCTCAGCTTGGATAGGCTGCATTCCTGTGCTCGGCCATACAGGACAAAAGGCCTCTGCCATATGGACAGTCCAGCTCTTGGGGCAGTGGTTCCCAGCGCTGCGGTTTGATAAGGGTCCCCCAGAGGCCCACACACTGAAGGCTCGGCTGCCAGCCTGTGACGCTGCTGGGAGGTGACGGGTCCTCTAGGGGTGGGGCCTACACAGAAGCTGGGTCTTGGGGGTGGAGCCCTTGAAGGGGGTGCTGAGATCCCAGCCCTTCTGCTTCCCGTCTTTTGCCACCCAGCGGCCTGAGTAGAGCAGCTCTCCCTGAAGTCATGCTTTTCATCATCCCATGACTGAAAGCCATGGAGCCAACAGACCATGGACTAAGACACCTGAAATCATGAGCAAAAGTCAGTCTTTTTTTTTTGAGTTGATGGTATCAGGTATTTTGTCACAGTGACAGAAAGCTAACATACCTGGATATTTAGAACCTCGCTTCCAATGGGCTCCACTTCAGCCAAAGACAATTCCTATGACTGGTCCTAACCCCTTAAAAGCTGCTGCACTGGAAGATGTGCTAACGCCTAGCCTCTTAATGGTGTTATTAGGCTTCATTAACACTTCCCAACCTCCCCCATTTCTGGCCTAAAGCAGAAAGTCTCTCCCGCCTTCCTCGACTGATGTTAACAGAGGATGCCACGCAGGCTAGGGAGCCAGCAGGCTCTGCACTCTCTGTGCCCATGCTCACACCTTTGAATAAGAAGCCACCCAGAAGACACGGGGCTCTGTGACCTCAATTAGTTCTGGGCTGCTGACTGTTTGAGCCAGAGCCCAAAAGACCACTAAAAGATGCGAGTTGAAAGGGTTACCCTTCATCTGAAATAGTTTTATGATATGTAGGTACCGCAACACAAGATAAACTTCTAGAGGGCCCCGTGCACGTGTGCAGGGAGTGGCTATTGAGATACACGGCACCATTTTGTTGTGTGGTTCTAGATCAGAACCTGACTGGACATGGACTGTGAATCTGGGAACGAGTCAGAGCCACTGCATCAGCGGCAGCACACTGGAGTAATGGGAACTGGGGAGAGGGGGGTGGGGATGAGACGCTCACCTTTACGGCGGCAACACAGCTCTACTCTGACTTGTGAGCAGGTCCCCACAGGATCTATGTTCCTCTCAGGAGGCCACCTGTGTGCCACAAGCACACATGGCCACCCCTGCATGTACCCTGTCTCCAGGGATGTGAGGCTGCCTGAGCAGGCTGCCGAGATGAGGTGCTCTCCACCTGCAGAGTTTGGGGCCTCCCGGGCAGAGGAGAAAAACAGCATTAAAATTCCTACCCATTAATGAAAGGCTGGGGCTGAAGCTCAGTGACAGGGCTCATGCTTAGCCTGCACAAGGCCCCAGATTTGATTCCTAGCACTGCAAAAACGCTTTAAAGGAATAAAAATACACAAAACTAAAGACTTAGGAAGAGGTGTTCTTAACAGCTGGTTCAAGATAAAATCTGTATCATCTGTGTGCTTTCAGATACCTGCTGGACCCCACTCATGGCAAAGGGCCAAGCTAAAATCTGAGGGGGTCTAATTTATTGAGCTAGAATTTTTATGTTGTAAATCACTCCTTGCAATATGTGGCCCTGAACAGAGACATAAAAATATTTACAAACGGCTGGGTTTTGTTAACAGCAGGATTTGCCTGCCTTTACAATCCTCAGGACTTTTCTCAGGATGAGGAAGGACTGATAAATGTAGAAACTCACTTTGGAAGCCCATGCCAAGTTTTAACTAGCACTTACAAATCAAGTGGAGACACTTTTGTAGGGGAAAAGGGTGCAGGAGAAGAATCCCCGAAACATGAATTGGCCCCAGAGCCTATCAGTAAGACAATGGGTTGGTTTTTTGAAAAGATAAAACAAAATCCACAATCTTTAGCTAAACTAAGAAAAAATAATGAATATATGAAAATATATGAAATAAAATCAGAGTTAAAAAATGAGACATTACAACTGACACCACAGAAATACAAAGGATCCTAAGAGACTATTACGAACAATTATATATAATAAACTGAATGATCTAGAAGAAACAGATAAATTCCTGGACACATAAATCTACCAGGATTCGATTATGAAGAAATAGAAACTGTGACAGACCAATGATGAGTAAGGAAACCGAATCAGCCATAAAAAGTCCTCCATTAAAGAAAATCCCACTTCTGAGTCCTACAAATGCTTTAAAGAAGAATTAGTACTAATTCTTCTCAAACTATTCTAAAAAATTAAAAGAAGAAGAAATACTTCTAAGCTCAATTCTACCTGAGCAGCATTATCCTGATAATGTAACCAGATAAGCACATAACAACAGCAGAAAGAAAACTATAGGCCAATATCCCTGGTGAACAGAGATGCAAAAATCCTCCAGGCAATGCCAGCAAAGTCAACAGCACATCACAGAGATAATGCGTCTTGATCAAGTGGTACTCAGGCTGGGATGCAAAGATGGTTCAACACCTGTAATCAATAATGTGATACATCACATTCACAGGACAAAGGAAAAAATCACAGGGTCATATCAACAGATGCAGAAAAGGCATTTGATGAAACATCTTTTCATGATAAAAACCCTCACAAAATTAGGTAAAAGGTATGCATGGTAGCACAATACAGGTCACATATGACAGATCCACAGCGAACATCATGTGGAATAAAGGAAAGTTAAGAACTTTTCCCCTAAGATCTAGAACAAGACATGATGTCCACTCTCACCACTTCTAATCAACAGAGTGCCAGATGTCATACCCAGTGCAATTAGGCAAGAGAAAGAAAGAAAAGGCATCCAAATTGGAAAAGAAAAAGTTAGACTGTGCCTGTTTGCAGATGACACAATCTATTTCATGTACAAAATCCTAAAGACTCCATCAAAAAGTGTTACATCTGGGCCGGGGATTTAGCTCAGTGGTTCTGCCGCCTGCCTCACAAGCGCAAGGTCCCGAGTTTGATCCCTGGTACCAAAAAACAAAACAAAACAAAACAAAACTGTTAGATCTAACAAATGAGTTCAGGAAAGCTGCAGGATATAAAACCAACACCAGTAATACACTACTAGTAAAATACTGAAAGAGAAATGAAGAAAGCAATCTCATTTATAACAGCTACCCAAAAACTACCTTAGGGATAAATTTATCTGAGGAGATGAGCACTGAAAACAGTAAGACCCCAATGAAAGAAATTAAAGACACAAGTAAATGAAAAGATATCTCGGGTAGGCCGAGTAGAAGAATAAGTATCATCAAACTGTCCGGGCCACCTAAATGACTTAAAGAGTCATTTCAGTCCCTAATCAAAATACCAACCTGTTTCTTCATAGAAATAGAGAAAAACAACCTTAAAATTTGCACAGAACCCCAAAAGACCCCAAATAGCCAAGTCGATCTTAAACAAAAAGGACAAAGCTAGAAGCATCACACTGCCTGACTACAAAACTATGGTAAGCAAAACATCAGGGGACAAAGTGGAACTTACAAACATGAACCAGAATAGAGAGCCCAGAAATAAATCCACTCATTTATACTCAACTGATATTTTAACCAAGATACCAAGAACACACAGGATAAAACAAGTCTCTTCAATAAATAGTTAGGGAAACCGAATATTCATAAGAAAAATGAGTTTAGATCATTCTCTCTCACCTATACAAAAATCAATTCAAAATTGATTACAGACTTAAATATAACACCCCAAATGATGAAATTATTAGAAGAAAATATAGGGAAAGTGACTTTGGTTTGAGCAGTGAACTTTTTGGCTATGACTTCAAAAGCACAGGCAACAAAGGCAAAAATAAAACAGATAAGATTCTATAAAACTGAAAAGCTCCTACACAGTAAGCAAAAAACAAAACAAAGAAACCAAAGGAGTAAAGAGAAAATTTGCAGAATGGGAGGAAATCTTTGCAAGTCATATGATAAGGGATTACCATCCCAAAATACATGAGCAACTCAAAGAACTCAACAGCAAGAAAACAAGCAACCTGATTAAAAATGGGCAAAGGATCTGAATAGATATTTCTCAAAAGAAGACATACAGATGCCTTGCATGTATATGAAAACATTTTCAGTGTCACTAATCATCAAGGAAATACAAATCAAAACCACAATATCATTGCTCTGGTGTTATCAAAAAGACAAAAGAGGGCCGGGGATTTAGCTCGGTGGTCACGGCGCCTGTTTTGAAAGCCCAAGGACCAGAGTTCAATGCCCGGTACCAAAAAAAAAAAAAAAAATTCTCAAACAGACAAAAGATACCAAGTGTTGGTGAAGATGGGGGGAAGAGGTAACCTTACACACTGTTAGTGGGAATGTAAATTAGGACAGCCAGCATGGCAAATAGTATGAAAGTTCCTTAAAATCATGAGTGTAGAACTACCATATGATCCAGCCATGCCTCTCCTGGGGATGTATCTGAAGGAGATAAACTCTACATCAAAGAGACACCTGTATGCCCAGGTTCAACGCAGTACTATTCACACAATCAAAATATGGAACAGACCTGTCTATCAACAGACAAATGAATGACGAAAATGTGGTACAGACACAATAAAATCCTACTGAACCCTAAAGAATGAAATCCCATCATTTGTGAGAGTGCAGATGAAACCAGAGAGCGTGATGTTAGGTGAAACAGGACAGCCGCACACAGACAAGTACGGAATGATTTCTCTGATAGGTGCAATACGGAAACGTTGATCCCATTTGCAAAAGATCTGGGGACCAAGAGGGGGGAAGCGGGGAGTAAAAAGAATGAAGATGTGTCGTGCACACTGACAGCTCCCCACGAGGAATGGAGCCATTAGAAGAGAAGAGTGGTTACAGAGGGGCAGACGTCTGCAGAGGGCACGGGGAATGTTGGTTGAAGGGCACAAGACTACAGTTAAGGAGGAGGAACGAGTTCACCAGCTCGGTCACATACAGCACGCCAACTATCGTTGATGGCTACTCTTCTTGAAAAATGTAAAAATGTACACGTTAGGTGTTCTCGCCACAAAAATGATAACTGCGTGAGGCTACGCATTTGTTATCAGCTTGATTCAACAATTCCACTATATATATATCAACATATTGTATAAGATAAGTGAACAAAATTTTATGTCAATTTAAAATCAATCAATCTGAACAGCTTAAGAAACAGGCAATGTCACACCTTTTCCACCAAACCCGCCTAGTCTCCACACCCCGATATCCTCTTCCTCAGCACACACCCGCCTGGTCAACCCTGAGGGTCCAACAGGCCCGTGACAAATGGATCCTCAGAACAACACTGGCCAACACCCGGAAAAGTCATACTGCATTTGTGGGGAAATTTAAGTTCCCCAAGTACATCTATTTTTGTTTAATAAAACTGCTGAGCTTCTTCCAGATGAACAACTGCTCTTTCCATCTACCTCCAAGTTCTTGGATTTCAAATCAGAAAAGCAGGGGGGAGAGCGTGGGCCACGTGGCTCACGTGGCAGCTCAGGGAGATGCAGCCTCACCCAGAGGTGTAGTTTTCCTCACTCTACAAAGGGCCCAGCCACTTCTAGTCTGCAGTGTGTGATGTGGACCGTTAGATATTTACCTCCATTCCTAGTCATTCCGAGGATGTATAACTGATTAACTCTGTCTCCAAGGACAATGCCCAGAGATTGCTAGAATTCTCCAGCCCTGTTTTTGTTAGAGCAAAAAAGGTGGGATTGAGTTTGGGGAAAGTCACTGTTCCTATCACTGGGAACTTCCTTGTGGTTTCTCCAACCAGAGAAGGCTCCAGAAAGGAGTTATGATAAGAGAACAAAGGGCCAACAGGACAGGACGCCGCCCCCGAGGCTTAGCAGCCAAAGCTTAGGGGACTTGAAGAAACACAGTTAAGAGGGGGGCACCGCGGCTTGAATATGGTTGTCACCACCGAAACACAACTTGGGCATGGTCCCCAGGACAAAGCATGGAAAGGTGGTGGGGTCTGTCAGAGGGGACAGCGTGGTCCTGAGGGTGGCTGCGGACCTTGAGAGCCTAAGGGAGCCTGGCACCTCCCTCGGGCCCTCTCAGGGGGACTCTCTTCACACCCCTGCCTGCCTTGCACAAAGTCCTCAGTAGATGTGACCGCTCCATTTTGAACTTCCCAGTCTTCAGACGAGGAAGCCAAAATAAATCTCCTTTCTTTCTAAATCATCCAGTCTCGAGTATTCTGTTACAGCAACAGAAATGGACCAATACAGTGGGTGAGTTTGGGACTGAGGTGTTGAGAAAGGGCTGAATGTTAGTCCAGTCTACTAAATCTTTTAAACTTTCCTAAAGGGTGTGATGGTAACAACAGAAAAACCAAGGCAAAGAATTTCAGAAGGTGCCGATGTGAGACAGCGTAGGAAGACTGACAGTTCATCAAATCAACCTGGTATATCTTTTCTTAATAAACTAATGGAGTGCAATGAAGTCATTTTGGGTGAATGCCTATTATCTTGGGAGGAAATAGTAGTGCAAAAGCCATGGTCTCCAACAAGATTTATCAAAGTGCCTGCAGCAATGCCAGATACTTCACTGTTTTGTCTTTATTGTTGTCTTAGGTAGATAATTTTTATAGTTGTTTACTTAATGTCTACAAAGACATAATCTTTAAAATGTGTGACAAGATCTTAATTTTTTCTTTTTTTTTTGGTACCGGGGATCGAACTCGGGTCCTTCTACTTGCAAGGCAGGTGGCGGAACCACCGAGCTAAATCCCGGTCCAAGATCTTAATTTTTACGGAAAGATTCTAGACAATTCTTTGAAATGAAGAATCTTTTGAAGGACAATCTTGTGCGAACGCAGATGGGCGGGAGCCGCCCGCCCTGTCTGTTACACCAGAGCCCCGCCCCCCGACCCCGCACCTGGGCACCAGAAGTGCTGAGCCTCGCTCCTCTCCCTCGGTGCCGCCACAGTCCCGTTCTCCTCCCACGTGATGAGGCCCTCGGAGAGGGCGGGCGGAGGCCCCGCTCGCCACGCCCGGTCTCCCCGGCTCAGGGGCTGCAAGGCCTGGCCCCCAGCGGCCTTTGCTTCCTCGGCCTCCGTGGTGGGGTCTGCGCTCCTGAAGCTCAGGCTCCTCATCCGCGACACCGAGCTCACCTCCTTCATTCTCATGAGGCGGTCGGGGTCTGCCCTCCTCGGGGACGACGCCAGTTTCTCTTGCAAACTTTCGATCACTTTGGAAGGGCCTCGGAGCCTCTTCTCTAAGCCCAACATGCTGGGGGTCCTTTCTATAACGTGGAACAATGTGGTCCTGAAGGGTGGGTTGGGCCCCGCATCCTTCTGCTCCGAAGACCTGGACTCCAGGCTGCCCAGCTGAGGCTCGGGGCTGGCGAGGTCCCGGCCCACAGCCGAGTGCCCTGGAGCCTGGGGGGCCCTCTCCCCCACAAAGAGGGGGCTCTGGGTCCAGCCACACTTCCTCCTGCCATAGGAGGCATCCGCGGTCACTGAGGGCAGAGGCCCTTCCCTGGGTGGCTCCAGGCTGCAGACACTTGTGTCTGGCTCAGTGGACTGGCTCGGGCCCGCAGTCCCGGTGCCTGGCAGCAGGGACTCCATGGCCACCTCGATGCCCAGGATCCTTGCCGCCCGCGCTTGCAGCGACTCGTTAGGGCTTGGGGGGATTACTGCTGCCCTGCCCTCTCCCAGAGGCCTGTCCAGCTTACTGGCACTTGGCTCAGGTCTCATCGTGAGCCCAATGGACCGCAAGTCTGGCTCGGAGAGGCCTCGGCCTTTGCTAGTGAGCGTCAGTGGGGCCTCCGTGGCCCCCTCCTCAGCACCTGGAAGCTCCGGGGGAACCACTCCACTCTGCCACACAGAACCGAGGGCACCAGGGAGCCACTCATCGGTGAGCCGCTCACTTTCTGCTGGCTCCCGCGGGGCGGCCAGCCAGGCTGGGGGCACTGGCCTTGTGTCACTCGCTCTTGAAGATGCCCCTCTTCTCCCAGGGCCTGGGCCGCCTGGAGGCCCGTCTGTCCCATTTACCATTGCCCACTCCCGCGTCTCTGTCACCAGGCTTCCACCTGCTGACCCGAAGGGCTGGCCTCTGCCGTCTTCCACCTGAGAGAAGCCCGGGGATGGGGGGTGGGCCAGCGGGTGGCCAGCCCCCGGCTCCCTGCTCCAGGTCTCACACCCCCTTTCCACTCTGCCCCACCAGCCTCCGCGGTCCTCCAGCACCAGGCGCCTCGGTTGCTGCTCCCCTCTCCCGTCGCGGCTGTCTTCGTGGAAGCCCCAGCTCCTTGGCCTAGAACCAACACAGTCTTCCTGTCGTTGTTCTATCTCATTTTCCTCACTGCTGCTGCCACTGCTGCCGTCAGGACTGTCTTCCTCTTCTTGAAGCTCCTTGTTAAAGCTTTCCAGCTGGCTGATCAGATCCCAGGGCCGCCGGCTAACTGGCTTCAGAAGAAACTGACCGAACAGCTGCTTACTGTTGCAGGGGCCTGCTGTGGACTCCCCCTTCACCACCTCCGGCTTGGGCACAGGGCTGGCTCCCTGCCCACGGACATCCATGCAGGGCTGAGTCTGGCCAGCTTTCGGCACAGGTGCCTGAGTGGCGGACGGGGAAGTCCTGGAGAAAGCACTGTGGCTGGATGGGCTGAGGGACATCTGGCCCTTCGGGTGAGGGGCGCATGCCTTCCAATTTGGGTCACTGGACCCTAGTGCCACATGCACGGGAAGGTCAGAGGCAGTGGGGTCTAAGCATTTGGGGTCTGGGGCTGTGTCACTCAAGTCCCCCAGCCTTGCAGCAGGGAGGAGCTGCGAGCTTTTAGAGTCTTCGGGGAAGCTGGTTTGTGTTTGCTGGTCCCTGTACTGGTGCCCTGGCCACGAGCCAGAGTACTGGAGTGCTCTGTGCTCTGCAAGGTGGATGAACCTGAGTTCATCTGCGTGTCTGTCTCCTGGTACCCCCAGACCCTGCTTTGGGAACTCTGTTTGCCCAGCCATGCTCCCTGTGAGCGCCTGCAGCTCCAGGTCACTGGAAGACAAGCTCAGCAGGCTTTGTTCTTGCAAGGCGAGGCTCTTATCAGCCCCGGGCTTTTGATCAGCACTCTGTTTTAAGTCATTGTTGTTCCTATCTATCGCTGGCAGATGGGATTCTGATTTAACTGGGATGGAAACCAAACAAAATACAGTCTCGTTTGGTTTTCTCTTTGAACTTTTCTTGGTCTGCATCCCAGTTGCAAACATTCTGAGCTTGGTCTGGGTTTCGCAGGTCCTCTCACTGCGCTGTGGGTCTGGGGAGAAAACGTGGCTCCCTGCGTGGCCATGCTGGCCACCTTCCCCTGGGGCCGGCTGTCCTCTCTGGTAGGGGAAGCTTGCATATTCTCCATCCCCCGGGAGCTGGCCCCAGAGCCACCACGGGCCAGGGTCGACAAAGGCTGGGCCCGTCCCAGTCCCCAGTGTGGGCGTCAGACTCTGCGCATTCAGAACGGCACCATCGCGGTGCCTCTTCCCCTGAGCTGGCTCTGGGGCAGGAACAGGACAGGCATCATAGGGTCTGTCATCGGACTTCACTTCTTCACCGAAACCCAGGGGCTGAGCTAGTTTGATATGGCGGATCCGAGGATCATCAAAGGGAATGTATTGAACGGAGCCTTCATAGGTGGCGACAGGACGAGGGTGTGGACGGAGACTTTGGGGAGAGCCTGAGCTGACACCATATTCATTCCCGGTTCTGAGGAGGCCAGGAGGAAGCGGACCACTGGCCCTGGGCTTTTCAATGGGATGGTGCTGTGGGCTGTGGCCACCGCTCATGTGTTTGGGCATCGTATCTTCCAGGTAGGGGTTTGGGATGTGCAGGGGGGGCGACCTGTATGAAGGCGGAGGCACATAAACTGGGGGCTCCAAGCCACAGTCAGGCGCACTGGGCTCATGCCCGGGGTCACTGGTTCTGGGGAAGCAGGAGCCGTCCTGGGGGCTGCCGCGTTCCCCGCCCCTGGGCTGTGAGTGTGAGCTGTAAGATGGAGGCTTGAGGGGTCTCCCAAACTTTGGCCGGGGGAAGGGGGCCGAGGTGCCAGCCTTCTCAGAGGTTTTGGTCGATTCTAGATGGGGTGCACCACTGGGAGGACATGGGGGCACTTTGGGAACACCTGGCAAATGTCCAACATTCAGTGCGATGGGAACTTCCACGTAACTCAGGCTCTCGGGGGAAAGGACTCGAGGTAACGACTGGGATTTCTTTTTGTTCTGAGAAGTCAGGGCGTGCTCGCCTTGAATGAATGGGTACAGATCTTGAAACAGTTTCTCCCCGCCACCATCAGACATCTGCCTCCCTAACTTCCTTGGCTGGTTCCAGCTCTCGAGGCTTACATTCTGCCACTTGGCAGGACCCGACATCCTCGGCTCTTCTTCCCAGACTGCCTTCTTCATCACGTGCTCTGTCCTTCCTCTGACATCCCATGGACCCTCCCTCATGTGGACGGGCAGACTGCGGGCTTGGGCCACTCCTCTGCCTTCCGGCTCGTCCCGGTCCCGTGGGCCCAGCGAGCTGCTGGCCTTCTGACCTCTTCTCCGGCAGACCTGGTCGTTACCAATCTGGGCCTGAGAGGACCATGCTAAGGCAGGCTGCTTATAGAACCTACAAAACAAAAAGAGGCAGAAATGTGATTCATGGAGAAATGCACCCTTCTCTGCTGCTGTGACTGGTCTCTCAAGTCAAAGTTAGGTCAGCACCCTCAAAAACAGGTTCCCACACTATTGGCCAACTTTGAGGAAAACAAGTCCCACTGACTATGGCTAGAAGACAGCCGCATGTTTTGCCATCAAGGGCTAAGGGATGGCAGCACCAGGCTGGCTGCAGGATCACCAGGGATGCTGGTTGTACTCCAGAGATGCTGAGGCCCTTACAACTTTGAAACACCCAAGGGTCTAAGGGGACTCACAGTGTGGTCCTGGACCACTTACAGTACATGCCTGGCTCAGTCTGACCTACTGAGCACCTCTGGGAGCCCACTTTTAACAGAAGTGGTCTCTAAGCCCCCGTGAGTGTCAGAATCACTGAGGGTTCCTAAGGCGCTGAGTGCTAAGTGCCACCCTGAGTCTGAGGCACTGTGGTTGGGCAGGGCTCCACACTTTAGGTCTCTATTAAGTTTCCAGCTGAAGATGCTGCTGCCCCTGGGACATTCCTCTACTGATGACCGTCAACCACAACTGCACATCCAGATCTTCAGTGACTTAAAAAATCCTAATGTCCAGGCTGTTGTGTTAGAATCCTAGTCATGAAAATTCCTCCAGGCTCCCCAGGTGTCCCCAGTGTGCAGTGAGACACTGGGCTGATGGTGAGACTCATCCAGTGGGCTTGTTAGATGCAGCCACATGCCACAGCACCACACTTCAGTCAGCCCCAGACGGCACCTATGACAATGCCCCTTCAGACTAAATGCAGATGGAAAATCCCTACTACCTAGCGCCTCATCGCTATGGTAACACTGCAGTGTAACTCACTACTTGTGGTGGGGCAGATGGAAACACACCTACTGCCACGCTGGCCTTGTAAAGATACACACATGTGATTACGTACAGACATCATACTGGATCTCGATAACCAATGACTGCATGTGGACTACACCACCTTTATCATCACTGCAGCATACACTTCTTGTGGTTCCTAGGTTGACTGTAAGACAGCATGTTGCATCACGCTGGCAGCACCTCACTTTCTGCATTCAGCTTCGCATCCACTGACCACGTGTGCCACCTACATCAAATCGCCTACTGATGCACCTCCCAGAACGCGGTCCTGCCAATAAGAGGCCCACAGCTGTACATGCAGTGTCAAGTCTCTCCCCGTGTGCTCTGCGTCTGGCCCCAAGAACGGCATTTTCAACAAGCTCTCCAGGGGACTGACTATGCGGATGGCCAGGAAACACTGCTAGGACTGGCTCTGGGAAGAGGGGCTCTGCTCGAGGGAGGCAGGGAAAGTCCTAAGGAGCAGGCCGCTCCACACCACCTGCTCCACACAGAATGTCCCTGTCAGCCTTTAAAAATGCAGACACCAGGCTCCACCCCATGTATTTGGGTTTGACTGGTCCAGAGCAGCCCAACACCAGCATACCTAAAACCTTCCAGTGGGCTGGGGATTTAGCTCAGTGGTTCCACCACCTGCCTCGCAAGCACAAAGCACCGAGTTTGATCCCTGGTACCAAAAAAAACGAAAAACAAACCAAAAAAAAAAAAAAAAGTGCTCAGTTTGGGCCGGGATTTAGCTCAGTGGTTCCGGCTCCTGCCACACAAGTGCAAGGTCCTGAGTTTGATCCCTGGTACCAAATAAATAAATAAATAAATAAATAAAACCTCCCAGTGACTCTAGCATGCACGTAGAGATTAGGATCACTGTTCTAATGGAAGTGAAGGAGGTATCTGGACGGCACCGGAACATTGTATGGATGAGGGCACTACCTGCATGTGGCCAGACTCCAGGGCTGTGACACGGAAAACCACTGACCAGAGCAAGCCCAGGAGACCGAATGCTTAAACACAGGCCAAGAAGCAGCATGTTTCCACTCTAAAATCATTGTTCTTATAAATCATTAAAGTAAAATATATTGTTGAAAAGGAATGTTGAAAGAATATAGGAAAGTACCAGAGCCAAAAATTACCTATAAATTCCCTCCTCAGAGTTGGTCACTGTACTGAGTGTCTCCTGGCGAGCCTCAGACACCCAGGGCGGCTGCCCTCGGACTCGCTCCAGCACCCTCTCGGCTAAGAATGCCAGCCACTCTTCGTACAGAGCAGGAAACCGAGGCGCAGAAGTAACTCGCTAACACTAACATTTCCTGGCCACTTTTGCCATTCGGGTATTGTGCTAAAGCATGTCCAACAGGCCATTTCATGTAAACTTACCCCTTGATAAGGAAAGATAAGGAAACTGCTGAGGCACAGACAGATGAATCAGCTTTCCAAAATTACAGTGGTAAGAGGCTGGGGCAGGACTCTAATTTCACTCTAAGAGTGAAGGTAAAGCCCATTTTCCTGCCTGTAGAGCTCCTCCCAACCCCTCAGGCACTTGCCTTTCAAGGATAAACAGAATTCCATGATGCAGATGTGTGTACATATAAAATATGTATGTGGGTATAGACACATCTGGGGTCATCTATCCTTTGTGCCAGTGTGGGACATTTACACAAATCCACCCCAGCACACCTGAGGAACTCTGTTGTCCACAAAACTTATGCAGGTCTATCTAGGAGGAGTCTGGGCTCTCCTATTAGGTGACACCTAGGTCAGGAGTGAGGAGGTCACAGTGCATATCAGCCAGCTGACCTCAGAGAAATCATTTTGCTTTATAGCTCCACCCATCAGGCAGAAGACAGCTGGTCTTGCTAAATGTTCTCATTCCTACTTATTACAATTATTTTTCCTTATTAGAAGAGTGAAAATAACTTTTCATTATTTTAATTTGAATTTCTTTGATTATTGGTAAGGTCATTTTTTTCACTAAACCACATTTTGAAGTTTCAAATAATTTCCATCACACAGCCCACCCTGCAGCCGGTGGGAGGGCAGAGTACAGACTGCGACACGGCCAGATGCTCTGGAGCTGCTAGTCCTGTCCAGTATGGCATGAAGGCCTGGCACAGACTGGGCTGGGGTGCCATTCCCCCGCACACAGGCAGAATGATGCTGTTCTGCAAGAAGCCCTGGTGAAAATTATGTCTTTAATAACAATTACAATTCTTTTTTTTTTTTTTTGGTGTCCTGGAGATTGAAGCCAGACCCTTGTACATGCTAGGCGAGTGCTCTACCACTGAGCTACATCCCCAGCCCTTTTAGTATTAGCATCCTTATTTTGGAATTCTATGCCTTAGAAGGTGAGGGCAACTCCTGAGTAACTTGTAACTTATGGGTAGAAAATATCTTAAGTCACTTTGAGGCAAAGTACACGCCACTGAATGGCCCAGGTGCTTCCGTAGACACTGCTCCCTGTAGTGCAGGCTGCCAGCCTTGGGCATGGGAGGAGGCCAGTTTCCCTGCTGCTTTTGTTGGTATCAAAATCACCTCTGGATACCTTGGGTTTCCAAGGCTAAGCAGAGCACTTCCTGGGTCAGGCTCTGAGGAGTCATCCTTTCGGAAGCCACAGCCCTGGTCCCCACGCACACCCACTCCTTCCCCTGGGACTCCTGCACACTGCCCACAGCCAGAGAAGCTGAAGAAGAGAAAGCATTTAAAAGTCTCCAACACCTACTGGCTGCAGGGCATCAGACTCTGGGAGAAGACTTAAAAACTGTCACAGACTACACTGGGAAAGAGGGAAACGCAGCACATCGAGAGGGAGGTGAGGCTAGTGCTCTGCATCAGAAATAATCTGCTTTCTTCTCTCTGTCCTTGAGCCAGTGGAAGCAGCCCTCATTGGGAAGAGTGGAGGAGCAGCACCTTTACTCCTCAGCTGCAAATGTTCCTGGAGGCGTGGACTTCCGGGAGGAAGGCATGGGGTGCAGGCAGCTCATGGTCTCAGTTACCACTGTGGTTTCGCAGTGCAGGTGTGCTGTGCCCAGAGAGGCGCTGAATCCTAAGGTGCTATCTGTGCCTGTGCATGCCCTCAGCATGATCAGGAAACGGATAAAAAATGACATAAATAGGACAAGAACATAAACAGCGACTCCCCTGCAGATGGAAAGGGGTCAGTTTTCTTTCCCGCAAAAAATGCTCCCACCTTAACTTTGCCAAAACTAATCAGAATGGCTGAGCACTGTGGGTGTTGCACGATGTACCAGACCCTCAATTTATGGAAACACAGGTTACTGGGGAAATTTAAAATAATCTATTTTAAAATACGGCCCATATGACCCAGAAAACTAGAAAGCATTTATGTAACAAACATCCATTTTGAACCCAGCCTGAGCCAGGCTCTGGCAGGCACGTGTGGACCCCACATGTGGGGACTCTGGTAAACCCTTCCCTCGGCAGGTTAGCTGTGTGCACCATTAGCTTGGGTCAGGATGCCTTTGGCATATAAAATACGTGCTAACTGACTCACCTGGCTTCAAAGACAACAACATGTCTTCTAATACCTCTGAGAAAAAAAGGCGAGATCAAAGTTTTTGTTTTAAAAAATGAAACTAATGACTTACATCTAGAAAACAGTTAACAGTGGGGCTCTTTTCATACACATGCTGAACACAATGGTCCAGGGTGGGAAAAAGCGAAGGCAGTGAGTGGAATGTGAGAGCCCAGGTAAACTGCCAACAAGCTTGACGGGACAGGCAGGGTCTTTACCCGGAACTCCCGGGAGAAAGGGACAGGGACAAGCAGAGGTTACACTTGGGAAGGCTCCACATCTCGCCACAGAAAGGAGCAGTGGGGCCAACAAAGTAACTGATAAAAAAGTCTGCAAGTACCGCATGCGAAACACGGACATGTGAGAAACAATTGGTCTAAAGGAAAACTAGCAAATCCATCTGTGAGTGTCGAGAGCTGATTAAGGGGAAAATCGGGAGAAATCGGTTAGAGCACACGATCCCTCCAAGCGCAGTACAAAGTACTGCCGTCCTTTGATTTACTTTTTGCAGCAGCAGGGTCCAAGCCCAGGTCCTCGTGCACACAGGCACGTGCTCTGCCAGTGAACCACACTCGCCTGCCCTTCTTCCTGTAGAAAGTAAAGTTCTGGTACTGAGAATGATGTCTAGCAAGACTCCCTTCTTGGCAGATCCCAGGGTTCCGTGAGCCACCCCACAGGACATCTGCACAGCACAGCCTAGACCTGTGCCAGGGAGCAGGGACCAGGGCCTGGGGCTGAATGCTGCTGGCCTGCACTGGGGGTCCCACGGGAGCGAGGCCACCCAGCTTCCCCACAGACACAGTCCCAGCCCTGGCCCCTGACAGGCAGTGCCCAAGGTGCAGTCAGTGTGGGAGGCAGGGAGGCCTCTCGAGAGTCCTGCACGTCCCGGTGTGACACTTCCATCCTGGCCTCCAGGTCTGCAGTCTAGCAGGTGCCTGCTGCTACTTCCAGTCACCTTCAAACTCTCACGTCACCTTCTGGACTGGTGGGCACTCAGGACTGAGCCCCAGCCTGTTCTTTCAGAGCCCACCTGCTTCCAGAGAGATCAGCTGTTTCAATCCAGTTGCACAGCAGAGTAGGTAACTCAGCCTCCACCCTGGAGTTTTCTTCTCCAGACCAGCATGGCAGAAAGAGCCGTGGGCATCTCCGTAGGGTGACTCATGTTCACTGGCTACAGGGTGAGGCGCTTACCAACTTGTGTGTGGGCTCAGCCATCTTTCCTACAGAATGTGCTCGGGCAGCTCCTCTGGCCAGGAAGCCCGCAACTGTACCTTTCAGCACGCTGTGAGATATTCAGTAGACCACACCATGCACATAACGTCTGACACAGGGCAGCAAGCAGGCTAATTTTGGAAAGGGGAAACGGGAGGTCAAGAGAAGATTAAGACAGACATGGAGAGGTTAGCATAAATTAAAGATCAGTCAGAAAAGCTGAAGCTGCTCAGAAAACATAATGGAGGAACATCACTATTTGATTGGAGCACAAGTTATAGGCTGCACGGGCAGAGTTTTAACTAGAAAATTCATAAACACTGGCTCAGACTGCTAACGCACTATGACACCTGCTTCTCCCAGTAAACGACTGCAGATGACAACAGTGTAGATTAGCTGAGATAAAGCACCAGGTAGGAGGTTATTTTTTGGTTAAAAAATACACAAACTTGATCATGGGTGTGGAAGAGAAGGTGAAATGCATTTTGGACCCAGAATAGACACTAAATGTAGACATCTGAACGAGGGCACAGCGGTCACTGGGAAAAGCCCCTGCTGGCATGCCTGGGTGACCGCCCCTGACTCAGCCATGTGGGCCTCCAACTCCTGAGCTTGGTCTGGGTTCCTCTGAAATCAGCTCCTAACAGGGGAAAGGCATTTGGAAGCTATCCAGCCTGTAGTGCCAACTCCTCTACCAGGGCCATGGTATTTTAAAAACTGATAGTGAGAAGTGGACCAGAACTGCTCCTGTGGATACTAGCAGTTTTCTGAATCATCTTGGTGCTAGGGCTTTTGAGTTCTCCAGCTGCAGTGAGGACCTCTAGACATGCAAGGCAGTCAGAGACTCTACTCAGCAGGCTGCTGCTTGTGTTTACTGTGTTCTGAATTAGCAATTCACAGGTGAGGCTGACATGCAAGACTGACCCACTTCAGAAACTGTAATAATATTTCTAGTACAATAGGTTGAGTATCCCTAATCTGAAAATTCCAAAATGTGGCAAAGTCTGAAGTTCTTGAGAGAACTTTGGATTAAGGATGTTTAGGATATTCAACTAGTAATACCCATGGGGACTCGCCTCAAAAAATCAACCTTGAAAGCAGAAACACTTGTTGGCCCCAAGTATTTTGGATACAGGATACTAAATCTTTAAATCTTTTTACATCTTTTCAATGTATATAACAAAATCAGGGGCTGGAAGCAACACTCACCCAAGAGGGAATTTCCCTCCCTCTCTCTTCCTTTCTTCCCTTCCTCCCTCCCTATTTCCTTCTCTCCTTCCTTTCTCCCTCTCTTCTTTCCTTTTCTCTTTTGTCTTCCTCTTTTGTTTTGTTTTGGGGTTATTTTCAATGTTGGGGATCAAACCCACAGAGCCTCTGGCATGCTAGGCAAGCCAAGCGCTCCACCACTGAGCTGTATCCCAGCCCTGAAGAGGGTACTTGTAAAGTTAATTCTCCTCCACATGGACCAGACAAATCTATGCAAAAAGAGAAAGAAGAGAGAAGCAAGAGGGAGGGGTAGGAACCCAAGTGGAGGAACAAAAGCAACCCTATGGAGAGCAGGCAGGGGAGACCTGGATGGCCGCTGGGTGGCCCAGACTGTGGGCCCAGTTGCTCAGATGGAGAGGGCTGAGCCTCCACCTGCACGTCACAGCAACACCCTACTCTGGGTGCCCCTCTCAGAGAGGAAGGCCCGTTTCAGATGCCCACCTCAGCCTGAGGTCAGTCAGAAAGTCAGGCTACTTGTTCTACTGACTGAAATGCCACAGACACAGTGATGGTGACTGAGTCTGAAGGTAGGGTGACACTCTGGGTCCTCCGTATTCCAGAAGCAGCCTCTACACAAGCACAGGCACCAACATTTCTATCCATACCAAGATGCCAATGGTTGGTCACCCTGTTCCTCGGGATGGGCGGGTATCGCTGAGCCCATGCGAAAACCACCTACAGGTGTCTGCTCTGTACGAGAGGTAGTTCCTCACCTGAGCTACCAGGTAAACCCTGGCAATAAAAGTAGAGGCAGATACCATTTCCCTTGAGACGTGGCCCTTTGCATCCACATGCCTGGTAGCTGCTCCTACATTCAATGCAGATTACTAATTATCTCCTGACTTGCTTGCTACCTTCAGGAAGGAAGCATCCAGACGGAGGGAAATGGAACAAGAACACATCTGCCGCAAGCCCAGGAGCCCAGTGAGCCCGCAGCCAACCCCCAAAGAGGACTGTTCCAGGTCCACACAGCAGCCAAGGCTGGGGCACCTGCAAAGGCTACAGGATCATCCACTAGCTTTGGTTTCTCATCACACCTACAGGGAGCAGCACCAGTGTGAGTGTTGCCCAGACAATGAAGGGACGGCATGGGCTTAAATGCCAATACTAGTGCTGCTGTGGTTTATATCTAGATGCCCTCCCAAGGCCTCATGCACCTATAGGTGGGGATTTGGGGAGGTGACTGGATCATGGGTGTGTGATACTTGTCACTGGATCGGTCCACTGACGGTTTACAGCTGGGTGTGATGTTGGCAGATGAAGCCTGGTAGGAAGAGGTGGGTTGCTATGGGTGTGGCCTGGAAGGATTCTGTGACTCTCCTCCTCCCTTGATTCCTGCTCTGCTGCTCACCACCATGTAGTCAACTGTTTCTCCTCTGCCACGCCACCTTGCCTTGGAACCAGCTGACTGTGGACTAAAACCTCCACAAAGTCTGAGCCAAATAAAACTCGCCTCCTTTGACTCTCAGGGGTTGGGCATCTGGTCCCAGGAATGAGAACATAACTAGGACAAGCACCTCCTGACTGTTTGCCTTCTGTAACAGCCTTAACCTCTCTCTGCCTCTGCCCCTCACCTGTACAGAGACAATGGAAAGTATACTGCATTTTGGAGTTGGCAACAAGGGACTGAGATAATACATTTAAAATGCTTAGCGCAGGAACTAATGTATTTTTTTTGGTACTGATGTATTTCTAAAACTCTTGTTTTTAGCTATTATTGCTATTAACCCAATTAAGATGAATTATTAGTGGATAGGTAATACTGAAGTCCTTTTTCCTTGAGTCACTCATGGAAAGAGGCACAAGTGAACACAAAGGCAAGAGAGAAGAGCTGAGAGATCGTCTTAAGGGGTGATTATTTTAGATCAGTATTATCTTAGTGTCCAAATCATAACCCATAGGCCTTGACAATAACAGGAGATGATGATAGAGTGGCGTGTCATAACAAGATGCTGCCCATCTCAGGGAAGGCTGGTCTCTAAGGAAGAAGCTACACCCATTTCCACAGTGGTGATGCAGAACAAACCAATACTAAGCTTATTAAAACAAAACAGGAAGAGCAATCTCTAATCCATTTGTTTCCATGTAAATCTAATGCATAAGGCCGACTGTTTCAGTGTTTTCACATGTTCTTTCTAATATGTGGACGAGGCTGTTTTACCAAGATAAACTCCCTTTCCTAGTGTAGTCCGTCCAGTGTCACTGCAGACATGAAAAAGCCCCGAGTTTCTACTTCCTGCTTATATTCCCACCACCCACCTCACTTTCACTCACTCACTCGATGCGTATTTATGGGCTGTTCTCTGACCCACTGCTCTGTGAAAGCCATGCCAGGGAGGGAAGGCAGCCACCAAGGATCCAGAGAGAGCCTCCCGTCCACCTCGCGTCACTGCACCGAGGCAGCCGCCTCACAGCCCTCAGATTCCACAGCTGGGGCACAGCAGATGTCCAACGCGCTCTGGTCCAGGCTCCTTGTCCTTCATCAGGAACTCAGAGCAGTGGTCATCCCAAAAGCAGACGATGGGGCCTGCTGAGCCCCTGTGCTGTCCCTGTGTCCCAGGGCCTCTCTGTGGGTGCCCGAGCCCTCAAACCTATCCAGCACGCTGGCTAAGGAAGGATGCCCCACGGACGTGCTCCTCGTGGGATGGCCTGGCTGCCCGTGCACAAGGCCCTCAGCAGCTGTGCCAGCTCTTCATGGTGCTTCTGAAAGTCTGCTTCTGGGTGGGAAAAGCTGCTGAGGGAAAGCGGTGCGAGTGTCCGGGCCAGAGCAGACCAGGACCCAGGCACTTCTGGACCGTCACGCTGCTTCTGCGCAAGACAAAGTGCCTGGAGGAAAGGTTTCCAAAGAGACGGCAAAGGAGAGCTGAGTCCTCCTGGTGCCCGTGAGCACGCAGCTCAGGAATCCAAACTTTCCCTGCTCAGAGAGCCCAAGATAACCGGCTGCCAGTCGGGATAAAAGACAAATAATATGTGGGGTTATCATTCTGCAGAGAAAGAGATACACAAAAACAGATGTTAAACTTGGAGCTTTCCTTTTTGGGAAAACCATTTTAAGCAGGATATGATTTGAGAGAAGCTTTAAAAGGCCCGAAGATCCACTGTTTACCATATCCAGTAGCGCTGTCTGGGATAGATGTTTACTGATCAGATACAAACCTCCCAAGATGAGGGCCCCAAGCCACCACATCAGACTCTCCCACTTGGCTCAGCCTCTAATTAGTCACAACTGCTGCCGATGACAGGAGATAATTACAAGTCACCCTCATGGTGGAGGAACAGAACCTTTTTAGCAGAGTTCCTGGGGCCCAGCAAAGAGCCTGTTGTGGTGTGACTTTCACATCCAAACCTCTGTTGTGTAAGTTATTTTACAGCTTCCTCCGATTCTGGCATTTCACAGGAAACACCTCAAGGAAACTGTGAATGCCTGACAAGCCTTCTACATATTTTAATGACAGCTCACTATTCCTCAGTGATGGCTACCTGCATCTGAAATGTGCTGTTTCCTGTGCACCCAGATAATACACAGTGGCTGGGCAGCTTCCCCTTGACGACTGTGTATGTGCACACGTGCCTGTGTCTGCCAGCAAGCTTCTGTACCACCAAGTGACTTCCATGCACAGTGCGTGAGCTGAGGCCACTCAGGAGGAGGTCTGCACGGAGACCCACTGTCTGTGAAGCAAGGGACTTACCATCCCTGGCCTGGAAGCCAACCTCAGCACAGCCCTGGTATGGCCGAAGCCCCAGCTTCCATGTCTGTCCACCCCAGTCCTTCCCCACCGGCTGGAGGGGTCACCCTCACCAAGCAGAAGGCCCCACTGGCCGTCCGACACCACGGACTCTATCTCAAAATTGAAACAGACACCGTCAAGGAGACCAGTGCTTCTCCTCTTCCAGATCCGACCTTCCCCACAGCCTCCCAGAGTCACTGCACACATCTACACCTCCTGGCCCAGGGAGCCTGCTTCTCTGGACACTCAGCGCTTACACAATGCCTAGGCCTAGTGAATTTACTTAAGGAATGAATGTTTACTAAATGCAAAACTTTAAAATAGGAATTAGCCACATCAGAGATGAATTAGATATGTTATCAGCCTGCAGGAAGCAGAGGATCCCTGAGGCCAAGGCCGATAGAACGTGCTGGAAGAATGCACAGGACAGAGTAATTTCCAAGGAAGGAACTGAGGAGATGAACCGATGAGGAGGGGCTTCCAAGGGGAGAGGGAGTGGAGAAGGAGCAGGGCGCACACGAGGACCCAGGTGGCCACACGGCAGGCACAGGAAAGGGTGGCTGGTGAGCCCGAAGGAGGCCTGCTCAGACCGGGCTGACGGCAGGCCACGCAGCCAGCGCAGCCCTGGAGTGGGGCAGAGACCCTGAGAAGGGTGGTCCCACACTGTGGCAACAGGAAGTACGTTCTCTGTAATCAATAATTTGGGCCAACAAATAAAAGTGGACTCTCAGCCCTGCCACATGTCGATGTAAGCGTTTAAGCAGTTGGCACAGCCCTTCGCCACCCTCCACCTAAGAGCTGCCTCTCTTGCCTCATCCTGGGTCTCAGCAGCACTCTGTCAAACTATAGTGAAAACACCAAGCAGCCCCAGGTTGAGGACACTGCTGCCCTCCACTGTTCAGCCTTACAGCAGCCACAGAAGAGCAGCACTGTGCCTCCCTGTTACGCGTCCTGTACATGGGTGGCATGCATTTTCTCCTCAGCTGGCGGGAAGGGGCTGGCCAGGCCAGGCCCAGCATGGCTGCAGGGTGGCACTGCTGGGTGACTGGCAGCCAGGGCTCCACTTAGGTGGGCTGGCTCTATTCCATCCCAATGAGCCCAGACAACAGCTCCAAGTTCTTCAGCTAGAAAAATGCGACACTGGGCTGGGCTAGAGCTCCCCGGCAGAAGGCTCACCTAGCACATGGAAGGCCCTGCCTTTGAACCCCCGCACCGCAAAATCATGACCTACACGCTGATGTCTCCACCTCCTGCCAGAATAAAACAAACCAGCTTGACTTCCACCCTTCCCAGAACACTAGTGGGGTGCTGAGGATGAGCCTGAGGTGTGGCCCGTGATCTCGATGGCTTGGAGCTGGACAGAGCCACCCTGGGCCCCATGTGCCCTCCAGTCCTGGAGACCAGCCCAGCAGCGGCCACCAGGCCGACAGGACAGGCAGCAGGACTGCAGGCGCTCTTGTTAAGGGACCAAGGGCTGGGCACTGGCAGTGTGCCACTCAGGCATTCAGATTCAGAATTCACATAAGCCGTGGTCTGGTGGGTTTGTCTTTCTACATTTTTAAAGCCGTAACTATTGGTACCTTTTTGTTTTCTCCCAAAGCACTTTTTTTTTCTGATGGAGAAAGATAATTTTCTTCCATGCCTATCTTTCTGGTGGTCTCCTATTTTCATGTACCAATTGGCTACTAAAGAGAAAAGTGTCTTTTCAGGCCAACTCGGGAAGCCCTGTGCTGAGCCTCTGGACACTGGCTTAGTTTTGCAAATATGTACAAGGCATGACCGAAAACTACAAGAATGTGTATTTTTTGTTTTTGGTACTGGGGAAGGAACTCGCGTCCTTGCGCTCGTGAGGCAGGCAGCGGAACCACTGAGCTAAATCCCTTGCTTGAATGTGTACATTTTAAAAAATTTTATTATAGTAAAAGACATATTGCTGTTAATACCACTAGAAATAACACCCCCCCACACACACACACACATCCTATCATTCTTGCCACTTTCTGAGCAGTTCTGGAAATCCTCATTTGTGAGCGTCTTCGGTTGTGTTGTTGGGGCTGACTGGATGTCTTGAATTGATTCAAAATGTGCACCTTTCAGGTCAGTTTAACTCTGGGGAAAAGCTAGAAGCCACAAGATGCCAGATCCAGGGATAAGGTGGATGAGGACACACCATAATATCTTTATAAGCCTGTCTTGCTGTTTGATGGTACTCGGCAGCAGCATTCACCATATTCTTGATTATACCTTGGAAAGACACTCACCAAAGAAGACTTCCAGGAGTGCTTCAGAAAGCAGAAAGAATGAGAGGATCGGTGTGTTCAAAGGAAGACGGAGTATGTGTCTTTTACCGTAATAAATGTTTAAAATTTAAACATTCACTATATATTTCAATCACACCTCCTATGGACTTTACCTTTCTGCCCTACAAGGCAGCTGGAACACGAAATGTCATCCCGAAGACCTGTGTACTGAAAGCTTGATCCCCACTGCAGCGCCCTTCAGAGGTGAGGCCTAGAAGGTGACTGGATCCTGAAGGCACTGACCTCGTCAACAGGTCACTAGTGAGTTCACAGCTGAAGGGGCTGCTAGGAGGTGGGGCCTGGCTGGAGGAACTAGGTCCCCAGGGCCGTGTCATGAAGGATGTAGTCTGTTTCCTGGCTGCCATGAGGTAAGCAGCCTTCCTCTGCCATGCCCTTCTACCAGGATGCTTCTGCCTTGGAGCCAGCTGAACATGGACTAAAACCTCTGAACTCATGAGCCAAAATAAGCCTATCCTCTGTGAAGCTGCGCATGTCAGGCATTTGTACCCATCAGGAAATGGACAGCTGAACAATGTAACAATGTAACAAACTTCAATCCAAAAGCTACTGCCCACCATGCAAGCTAATCAGCAAATTCCAGAGACACGGAGAAGACGCCGAAACTACTGAGCACTCGGGCATCTGTGTGAAAACACCCCAGTGATGTCCAAAGCCCATCTGAGCATCTCACTCACGAAAGAAACAGACGGCTCGCAGATCTGGCTGTGTCTCCCTCCTGCGGGACTGGCTGGAGGCCCTCGTGTCCTTAGGACCTTGTTACCCACAAGGGCTAGAGGCCCCGAGCGGGGTGTGGAAGACGTGGGAGCACAGTGCCCACTCAGGATCCTGACGGGGTCCTACTGTCCCTTACTGCGAAACCCAACTCCATTCAGGCTCATGTGCGGAGGGCTCGCATGACCTACCCAGCACATGTGCAGGGCGCCACGGCACTGCTCTCACCTCACTAGGCATGGAGTCTTCTGCTTCTCAGCGCCTGTCACAGTGGTGAGATATTAAGTAACCACCATCTCGCAGCACTAACAAGCTCTCCAGGAAATGCAAAAGAAACAGGACCAAGGTACAAACTCAGCACCTTGCTGAAAGACAAAAAAGTGCTCAGTACAAAGCTGAAAGACACAGAAACACTCAGCACAAAACTAGAGAGAACAGAAGGGAGGAGCACATCAAACACAAGTTTGTCTGAGGGTAGCTAAGGCGGCCTTACCCCAGCTAACTTCTGGATGAGAGCCTGCTGCCAAACGCCACGGTGGGCACAGGGCGCACAGTGAGGCCCAAGAAAGCGGGGTGGCAGGATTCTGAAAGGCAAGGGGAGGGCACGGCTCCTGCACTTTCCACTCTGGACGGCCCTGCAGCCCTGTCCCTCGTGACAGCTCAGACTTGGCAATACAAGCCCACAAGGCCAGGAAGGGGCACTCTTGCCTTTGCTCCCGCCCAGGAGCCAAGGTGTTGAATGCTCTAACAAAACAAAACCCTCCCAATTATGCCCGAAAACGGTCAGCCAATAAGGAAGGAGCTTTCTCGGGGAAGGTGATCTATAAGCCAGGAAGACCAGTTCATTCCCAAGGGACTTTTTCACTGCCTTTTCTGTTTCTGTCTCTTAGCCCCCCGCTCCTGGGGGTTTCCAGGTCCCGCCCCTGTAACACGCTCCCTATCCCAAGCTATCCTGGTCCTACTGCAGTTTTAAAGATAGTCACAGTTTTATGAGGAGAGAACAAATGTTTCCTCAAGGTTGAAACCGTTTAGAAGAGAGTTTCAGGGCTGCTCTCCCATGCTGCCTCGGAGGTCAGCTGCTAGAGTCCCCTCTGTCCATCAGGAAACAGCCGCAGAGGCAGCTGTGTGGGAATGGGACCCCACGGCGGGCCAGTGTGTATGCAAGGGGACAGCTGGGACGCCAGTGGAGTCAGGACCATAGAAGGATGGTCGTCTTTTTCACAAATGGAGGGGAGACAGATCCCACTCGATGCTCTGTAGCCTGCAAAACAGTGAAAGGGATTTAGAAGAAAGCCAGTGTACCATGACTGCACGAATGGAAATGAACTAGCTTTTACCAGACTCTAAAAGATTCCCACTGAAAACACAGAGCAGAAGGTTGTCAAGAGAAGCAGAGTGTCCTGTCACTCAGTGTGGGTCCCTGAGGGCCCACTGTGGTGGCACTGTGATCTGTATGGGGCTGGGATACTCCACATGACGCACGAGAAGAAGCACCTCCTCTCGGGCCCTTCGGTCCCTCCCCGGCCCCAGCCAAACAGAAAAAGGTGGAAGAGTTTCCTTATGCATAACCCAGGGCCAACGTCCCAAGGCAAAAGCACCTGCTGGTGCAATAGGGAAGCTTACCCCGCCTCTGGAGCTCTGGAAGCAGACGTCCTGTGGTGCTCCACGTGGTGCCTTGGCACACCTTGGTGGCCCTCGGGGGCACTCACAGGGCCTGGGCCCGGGGCCTGCCTGCTTGGAGCCAGGGCAGCAATGCCATCTTCACACCCGTTCTGCAGGCCCTGGCTGCCTCTGGGCCTTGTCTTCGCCTGTGGGTGCCCATCAGCCTTTGCCCCACGTTGCCCTGGGAGGTCTCGGGCTGGTTTGTACCCATGAGAGATCAGCAGGTCTTCCACACTGTACATGGTGTGCTGGCTTCACCATCGCTTGCCTGCTGGCACCGCTGTGGTGGCGTGACCCATCACTAGGGGGACAGGAGAGAGCTCTGAGTGACCGTCGTCCCTGCAAAGCTGCAGTGGCCCCTACCCTCCCCAGGCAGACCCCGAAAGGTGAAGGTGGCGATCTCCCAGCGCCCAACACCCTGCCAAGTGCTTGTGGGGCAGCGCGACACAGAGACATGGCAGAGGATCACCCCAAGAACAGCTGCCTCTTGAACAAGAATGCTGAGTAGTGGTTCTTGCTTTTTGTTTCTCAGTGCAAGGGCTTGAATCCAGGAGTGCTCTGCTAACGGAGCTGTGTCCCAGCCCTTTTTTATTAGGAGATAGGGTCTCACTCAGTTGTCCAAGCTGGCCTCAAATGTGCAGGCCTCAGCTTCCCAGAGTGCTGAGCTTACAGGCATGCACCACATCTGGTCAGAACAGTATTTAAGCAAAGGAACGTCCAACCCTGCCCACCCGCCTCTTGCCTCCCCATCTAAAATCATCAGGCTGGAGGGGCGAGAACGGCATAAACACAGGCGTGCAAGCTGTGACTGCTGTTTTATGTTTCTAAAAAGAGAAGCTACCAATGTGCAGTCAGCCTGTTACAACCCCTGCTTCTGTCTCACACACACAACTCTTGCCCTGCACGAAGGAGCAAGAGTGTTACCCAGTGCACAGCCACAATGGGCTTGCGTGGAAGCAGTCAAAGGGGCTGCCGGGCACTCCCTGAGTGGTTAGCTGGCAGCTGGAAATGGGTTTTTAGTCTCTAGGCTCCCAGTGACCAAACGACACACCAATCAAGTGTGCACGTGAGACCTACAACACACTCTGAAAATTCTCCTTTTCACGCGAATCTTTATTTTTTCCCAGTACTGGGGACTGAACCTAGGGCCATCGTGCTGAGCTGCATCCTCGGCTCTTTTGATTTCTATTTCGAGACAGGGTCTTGTTACATTGCTAAACTGCCAGGATGAAGCGGAACTCACGACCCTCTTGCCTCAGTCCCCCAGTGTGCTGGGATCACAGGTGCATGCCAACATACCCAGCTGCACACGATACTTGCAGAAGTAAATTTCTTCCCGGTCATCTGGGAACGAGATTCGTACTTCTCTGCCGAGGGGCCCACCCCAAATGCCTCTCAGCAGCCACACCAACAGCAGCCTGCCCCAGTGTAATCTTTCCGAAGGCACACGGGTGGTGGAAGTGGACAGAAGTCCGCACAGGAGCACAGCCGGAGTGGCCCCTGCGGGCCACAGACCCGTCACACACCCCCCAGCCATGGAAGCTGGCTGCACACAGAAGCTGGGCGGATCAGGGAGCCGGGCCAGCTCAGCTCCTCAGCCCCACAGCCCTGGCGGCTGGAAACAGTCACTGGCCACTGCGAACAATGGCCAGGAAACGCCTGCTGGCCCGCAGGTGCGAGGAAGACCATGTGCTTCCTGTCGGCGCGGCTCTCGGGGCCCTGAGTGCACCCTGCCTGGCACAGCCAATCACAGGGGCAGGAAAGGCCCGGGGCGCTGCAGCACCTGCCCTTCCTCCGGGCGCGGTCTCGGGGAGGCCCAGCGGCCACGGCCACCCCACCACTCCATGTGCTCCCTCAGCCCGACCCAGGGAGCTCAGCAAAGGGAGGACCAAGAAGCTGGGCTCGGCCAGCAGGGACCGCCAGGCTGCGTGCCTGTGCCCAGCGCAGGGTGCTCTGGGTACCAACACCCAGCGAGGGAAGGGCTCGGACACAGGATTTCATTGGAGAAGCTGCCTTTTACATGCGACGGACCATGGCTCCTGCGACCAGCCCAGTTAACCCCAAATCGTGGAGGGTGAGGCCGGGGCCCCCAAACCTGGCTGTGTGCCCAGGGCTGGCTGCACTGCAGCCCATCTGCCAGAGTGGTGACGAAGAAGCAGCTCTCCCAAAGTCGCACGCGGGCTGCTGACCTGGGTGAGGCAAGTCTCCGATCAGGCCAAGTGTCTGCAGTTTGTTCAGCAAAATCTTAAGCGGCGTGACAACCCACACCAAGCCGCAAACACTGCCCAGGAAGATCCAGCCGTGAAGAGGCCCTAAACCGACCCTGCGGTCTGGGGGCAAGAGTGCTGCGATGGATGGAAACTCCTCTTTCTCCTCTCAGAGGCCAGCAGCTCGCATGCACGGAGTCAGCACGGCAGACCAAATGCCTGCGCTTCAGCGCTCAGGACAGCAGCTGAGTGGAGGGCGCAGGCCCACGGGCTGGGCGGGCTCTAGCAGTGACCTGTGACTGCCAAGCACACCCACGGGACACGGCCACCCTCCCTCTGCCCGATCCTCACGCCATGCGGGCTCCCCTCACCAGTGCCGAGGCAGGGGACTGGGCGCCTGGGCCTGCTGGACTGGAAAGATGGACCCTTTCAAGCTTTTCTTCAATGCCAGCATTTTAAGTCAACAGCACTTAATTCTCTGACCCACACATCCACTCAGAGAACTGCTGTGAAGGCAAATGCACAACAAAATTTGGCACAACCCTAAACTGCCTCCCTGACTGTAACCGCACATTTCACATCTCAGAAAGGTACGTGCACACCTAAAATGGCAAATGATCAGGTTTGTAAACTGCTATCGTTGACCCCTTTGGAAATGCTTGTGACCTCTGTAAATTGCCTGACATGCTCTCTAGTAGGCGCACAAGTCCACCAAGAATCTCTCAATTCATGCAAATTTTCTCGGCACCCCTTGCCCCATGACCCCCATAAACACAGGCTATGAACTATGAGGAAAACCTGTTTTCTGTAGCCACAATCACAGGACACATGAAAGGAGAGGCCATCGCCCACCCACGAGCACCTGGCAGGTGCCCCACGCTCTCACTAGTTACATGGCACACTCCAATTCACCTCTCATTCCCAGCAAATTCTCCAGTGCAGACGTGCACTGCCAACAGCACACTGCCGGGGAGGATGCTCCGACCCAGAGGCTGAGGCTACAGACACCAAGCAGCTGAAATCCGAGGGCTGAAACCAGATCTGCCTAGCTTTGATATCCACGCCACTACTGGTGTTTTCAGCTCGCCATTTATGTTCCCTTCCTTACAATCAACAACTTTCTCAATCTACCCAAATAATGCATAAATATAAATAAGAAAATACAGAAGACATGGTGACATTACACTTAAAAACTACATTTAAGATGAAAAAATTCTTCTAGTCCTTGCAGTGAGGATGCCTCTTGTACATGACTCTTCTCACACACATGCACACCCACGCACAGGTGAATCCCTGCCTTGACTATGCCTTGATGGCAACGCTAGTGTTCATATCTAAATGCTGAGCAAGTGATGTGCTCACAAATACACCACTGGGCAGCTCGTGACCTTCACAAGACTCTAGGGCCATCTTGGGCATTTAGTCCTTCCTAAGTGACATGGAGCTATTACAGAACCTGGTGCATGAACTAAAGGAAAAAAAATCTATATAGAAACAGCAAGCCTTGGCTTCAACATTGATAGAACTGAGACTTTTTGAGTGGGTAATAGGAAACCACAAATGGGTCCAGGCAAGGAAAACGTTCTGTGGTATCCTGGTGGGAAAGGGAGGACTAAGGTGACAGAGATGGAAGTGAGGACTGAGCAATTAGAAGTGGCAAAGGGGATAAGAAAAAGAAGGGGCACTAAGTCATTTTCAAGGGGAGAAGCAGTACAACGGGTTTTAGCCTGTGACCTTGGTCTCACTGGCACCCCGCAGAGCCCCCCAGGAGCACCCAGGAGAATGGGCACACACGGACAGGAGGCGGCCCGGGCAGGCGCCACCCAGCAGCGCTCCTACCAGCGAGGGTGCTGCACACCGACTCCAGCCTCGACTCACCGAGGCGCTTGTCTCGCACTGGACACACGAGACACCGGCTCCGCTGCAGAATACAAAGACAGAGCAGACCCAGTCACCACCTTCCCCGCCGATGTTACTATGTGGGAGGAATTACTGCAGTGACACACGTTCTGGAGCCTAGGTGGAGAGCTGCAAGTGAATGCCATCTAAAAAGACACCGCGGTCCCCTCCCTTTCCATTTATAAAAAGAACGCTCTTATTCTCCTACACACAGTTTAAGGCTCCTCAGGGTGGTGAAAGGAAAAAAAATATTAACAAACTCATTACATCAACCAGAGCTGTTTTTTTAAAAAATCTGCTTAGAATGTGAACTGAAAATTAAGACATGTACCCAATTAAAAATATGGAAAAAGTGTTCACTCTCTCCTGCAATCAGACAAATAAAATTAAACCAAAATGCCATTATTCACCCAGCAGATTAATTACTGAGGCTTCTAAAAAGCAGTGCTCCCTGCTGGTGAGGTCATGGTGACCCACGCGGTAGATGTGAGGGCTCTGTGCAGACGGGCCTTTCCCCTCTGAAAGTGGTTGGGGAGTGAACAGTAAAATCTTAGACATCTGAAACCCTACAGTCATAACCTCATTTCCTAGGGTTCATCTTAACAAAATAATTAGACACACACACACACATACAAGGAAATTCACCTCAGTTTCATTTTTGACAGAATATTGAACTAAATGTCTGCTGAATGGGTAGTGAAAGAGATTCTGCTGCAGTAAACCCACATGGTGAGCTACACTATGTGCACCCAGGTCTCATGCTGTGCTTCCAAATATCGAGAAGCACAAGGAAATGTCCGGGCTGCCATTTTAAATAACGGAGTCGGGTATGAAACCCTAGACCGGTGTGCTCCCAGTTACAGGCATATCATATACACACACACACAGGAGAGGAATAACACCAAAAGGAAACAAGCCAAAATATCAACAGTGTTACTGGACTCCAAGGTTTTGTTTTTAAGTCCCTATTTATACTTTTAACTGTGCAGTATTTTATGATGTTCTGTCACAAAGTGTATTAGGTTAAACCATATGAAACTATAATTTTGCAGGTCAAAAATGGTCAAATACTGGCAATTTTATATACTGAGCATCTTAGCCTTAACTTCATATCCTTAATATTAGCTTAAGTATATATAACTTAATATATATGCATTACAATTAATAGCAACTTAACTTCTATTAATATAACAAT